TGTAACACTTAAGTCCAGATGGGATGTATGCTACATTTTCTATTGTTTTGATTGCATGGTTGAATTTCTATCTTATGCGCATGAAATCACTCAGCAAACGCCCATTTATCATTGTGCATATCATTATCTTCAATACATTCTTGTATGCACTATGATTTGACTTCATGAACAGAGGGAGATCTCCATAAAGCAAAACCTGCAATGAGCATTTGCATTCAAAGGAAAATTACTTATATGCACATCTTCAAGGGGAGCCCATTCAACTTCATGAAGCCAATGACCACATACTTTAGCTTTCACAGATTTCTTATCCCCGTTGAAAACTTCAACCAGTTTGTAATCAATCACCAAAAAGGGGGAGATTGTAAGTGCATCTAGTGCCACCCTAGTTGGTTTTGGAGTATTGATGACAAACGTGGTTGAGGGACTAATGTGTTTGTGAGATTCATAGGAGAACACAGGTAGAGGTCCCTCTTGATTCGGTTTACCCATTGAAGTTGACCCCTAAATATGTATGAAGACATTGGTGGTTCGCGAAGACATTCACGTCGAAGATAATGACGTGTGAAGACATTCACTTGAAGATAATGGAGTGCGAAGACATAGTTTCTTTCGTATTTTTATTTTCTTCTTTTTTGAGTCATAGGAACCACCAAACTGTCAAGTGGGGTTCAAGTGAACAAAGTCAGAAAACGGATGTGATGCTCAACCCAGATCCTATGTCTTCAAGTGAAGACAATGAGTGAAAATCTTATCCTAAGTTGGATAAGTCAGCTTTCCTTGGCGTCACGTTCTGAGGATCCAAGAGTCATTGTGGATCGTCGGTGAACGAATTCTATGAAGGTTTGGAGGTCTACCTTGAAGACTTACCTGAGTGATTGGGCAAGGACTAAGTGACCTTAGCTCAAGGGGAATAAGGTGAAGACATGGTCTTCTGAGTTCAATCTCAGCCTTCCTAACCAGACGTACAATTATCACAACAAATGGAACTGGTCTACCAAATCCTTGTCTTCGTCAAGCTACTAATTCTATCACTTTAGCCCTTTACTTATAGTTTAGCTTCATGAAGTCATTTCTTGTCTGCTCTGATTGACTTCTTTGTGTGAAGACATTCTCTCTGATTGCATATTTGGCTTCATACTGTCTTCCCATTTCGATATGTTCTACCTAGCTGCTATTTGTCTTCGTGCTTACTCTGGCCTGTCTCTTTGACTATGGCATGGCTAGTGTAGTTTATCTTCCGCTGCATACTGTGTAGGTGTTATCTGCTTATCTGTCTTCAAAGACATTGCATGCCTTGAAGACTTTTATAGTAATCGCCTATTCACTCCCCTCTAGTCGATACTAGCACTTTCAGCGAAGCTATCTCCACTTGTGACATCTACATGGTGGATACCCCCAGAGAAGGAGGAGGAGATAAACAACCTCCCAAACAATGACATACAGGGCGTCGCAATAAAAGCAATGGCAACGGCGAGGCAAGCAACAACGACACTAGAAATGGTGACACTACCAACAATGACGTTGCACAGGACGACGCCGACAAACCAACAGCCCGATGGCGACACGGTGATGGTGACAATATCGACAACGGGGGTAAAGACAACGGCGGCGAGGATGACGAGGACCCCGAGGACACCGACTACCACCCTAAGTCCGAGGAAGATAAAAGCCTCAGCCCCGATGAGTTTATCATTTTCAAGGAGTCCATCGAACCACCTCAGTTCGAAACCTTCCGCAAGTAATTGTCCAGTACGACCAAGAGCATTAAGCAGAAAACCCAGCAGTTGAAATTCGATCAGGACCAGCTCAATGGTAGATGGTTTGAACTCCTCAAGTTCGAACAAGATCTTGAGGACAAGCTTGCAAAGACCGAGGCTAATAAATTTTACCCCTGAAGAAATTTTCTTCAAGAGCTTGACGAGGAGGGTGGCGACAACATGCTATCTAAGCGCGAGTGGGCCGAACAGCCCGATCGCCCACCTCAGGGGCGGTGGGTTGATGTTGACCCAGCGCGCCCCGTCGGCGGTGAAGGTGAGGGAGCCAAAGATGAGGCTCTTCCCCGACGGGAGCCCATCGGAGGCTGGGGAAGATCCAATCTGGGATCGATCTCCAGCCACTACTCGCTGCTAGTGGGGAGAGTGGAGAGATGGCAGAGAGAGGGGTGAAGGAAGTTGAGGGTAACTATGTCGCGCTTTGGGAAACAACACAACGTCTCAAGCCCAACTCTTGGCGTGCAGCCGCCGCCGCACATGTGCTTGGAGTTGCATTGCTCAGGCCTCTAGTTGTGGAAAAATTATCGATTTGGCCATTCCCACTCAACAGGTCCGCATGTGTTTTAAGATTTGTGCGGGTCAACATTTTGACACGACCCAGTCAACAAACAACCCAATTTCATACCACACGGGCCTGGTTGGGCTATATGGAGCCTACCAAACACGCCCCTATTGCACACTCTCATCCTTGCCGAAGATCTGGTTTTAAACCAAGTAAAGGTGGCTTCTAATTGTCTGAGAGTCATTCAAGATTTTCGGTCTGACATGCAGCTCGGTGATAACTGCATGATCATTAAGAAGATAAAACACTAAGCGATCTTCTTTCTTGGCTTGTGACACAGGACATGAACAACGCTCATGTAATATGGAGGCTAAGGGCATCTCTAGCCGTTGGCCCCCTAGGAGGGGCAAAAAATCGCCCCCTGGGGGCGCACCGGCGCTAAACCGCGCACTGGGGGCGTGATGCCCCCCAGTCGCGGCGCCCACGGTTAGTCAAAAAAGTCAAATACGGCGCAAAAACGACTCAAATTTAACGCAAACATCGGCGAATTCGTTCAAACTTAAACATATTTTACAAAAAAAGAAAAAAAACTACCGCAGGCTACCCCCGCCGTCTCCCTCGCCGCCCGCCTCGCCGCCCGCCCACGCGGTTCTACATGCCGAGGAGGCTGTAGAACCACGTGTAGTCACCACCGTTGTCGTCATCGTCGCCGCCCCCGCCTACGCCTCCGCCGTCCCTACTGCATCCCTCCCCCGGTTGGCGCGGCGGGTTGGACAGTCCGGGGGCGGCGTCGTCGTCGTCGTCGTCGCTGTCGAGGACCACGACGTCGTGCTCGTCCTCGCGCCCACGCTTGCGGGCGGTGATCTCCTCCAGGGCCCGGCGCTGCCGGACCATCTCGTCGCGGAGGTAGTCGTCCTGTGCCCACCGCATGGCGTCCTCGTCGGAGAAGCCGCGCCGGGCTATCTCCTCGTACTCCGCGGGGAGGCCGGGCTCCGGCTTGGGCTCGACGAGGACGAAGCGGCCGGTGGGTGGAGAGGCGTTGGCGCCGATGCGGACGCCAGAGCTGCGGGTGCGCGCGCTGACCGGCGTGCCCTGGAGCTCCGGCTTGACGGGGCGGAGGCAGGGCGAGCCGCCGGACGAGGAAGAGGACCCCCCCGGTCTCCATGCGCCTCGAGGTCCAGGAGCTTCCCCGGCAGCGTGAGAAGGAAGGGGGAGCGGGGTACTCGAGGCGCGGCATGTTGCCGCCCTTGATGTACTTGAGGATGGCCTCCAACGTGCGCCCGGGCACGCCCCACCACCGACGCCGGCCGGCGGCGTTGAGCTTGCCAGAGGGCACGACGCCGTTGGTGGCCTCGAGCTGCTGGGCGTGACGGCGGCGGAAGTAAGGGTCCCAGAGCGGGCTGTCGGGGACGTACCGTGGCCCCTCCCTCACCGCACGCGGCAGGTTCGAGCGGATGCGTGCGATCTCCACACGCCGCGCCGCGCCGGTGTGTACGCGTGGCGGGCGAGGGAGGGCGAGGGATGCGCGTTGTCCGGTCTTCACTGCACCGCCCGTGAGGCATCAATGGTGCAGGCTGACCGGCACGGCAGCGCGCGACAGCTTTGGCATTGATTCGCCATGGGAAACGAGGCGATGAGGACGACGAAGGGCCGAGAAGAGAGCCGTGTCGCTGACGCGGCGGGCCCGCGGCTTTTTCGTACCAAAACAGTTCGCCGGGTTCGGGCTGGGTCCGCCAGCGCTGTTTTCGGCCCAAGCCGGCGAAAATCGGGCTCCTGGGGGCGCGACTGGGCCATTTTTTCGGCGCCGGCGCGAAAAGAACGCCTGGGGAGGCCTTCCTGGGGGCGCGGCTGGAGATGCCCTAATAGACTAGCTCGTTTCGCTTCCTCTCCTTGTGATCTTCTTTGGTGTGTTCAGTTGAAGGGATGGCTTGGAATGGCACGGCTCCGACCCGCCCCTAGCCCCCGTTCTCGCGTTTAGTTGAAATTGGGACGGGCATGCACTGGTTCCCCGCGAGCGAATATTCCGCCCAGATGCGAAACCAAGTCATACCTCAGAAACGGCCGGACCACGCGAAACGGCTGCCTCCCTCGCACTCGTCCTCAGCCCACAGGTGCGCCGCCTCCCTCCCCTCCCTCCCCCTCCTCCCTTCCCCAT